GACTATATACCCACCACTGGTTTGTGCCTTGCTTTCTCGCCGAAAAACGCGCATATACTCATACCTCTGGCCCTTGTCAGACGACATCCTTCATGCCCGCATTCAAACAATGGGGGTTGCGGAGCATATCTTCGACGTGGACCTCCACGGCAAGTCTGTCACCTGGCACTTGTTCGACGTCGGCGGTGCCCGAGGCCAGAGACATTCTTGGGTATGCATCCTTTCGCGTCATTTTTGGCCTGTCCTAACCTCATGGTCATCAGATCCCGTATTTCGATACAGCAAACGCTATCATCTTTGTGGCCCCCGTCAGCGCGTTTGATCAGGTACCTTGTGGATGCTTTACTCCTTCGGTACCAGACTGACCTGTGCCTAGTATCTCGAAGAAGACCCTCGAACGAATAGGATCGACGACTCTCTTCAGCTTTTCACGCAAGTCTGCTCCAATGCCCTTTTGAAGAGCGTCCATCTTGTGCTGTTCCTCAGTGAGTTCGATGACGTCTTGGTGCCTGCATTTCCTGACTTGGTTACAGATAAGACCGACCTACTCAAGTCCAAGATCGACAACGGGCTCAGAGTTCAGAAATAGTAAGTCATTTGTCCACATTCTCACTCGATGTTCTATCTTTTGTGATGTGATGCGATCTCTTGATACTCACTCTTTAATCAGTATCACCTCCTTTGGTGACCGCACTAATGATTACGAGACGGTGGTGCAATACTTCCGCGCGCATTTCTTGCAAGTGCACCGTCGGAACAACGAGAACCGGCGTGTATTATATACCCATTTCACGAGTGTCGTGGTGTGTTTGTTTCTTCTTTCTCCCGTCGTTCGCATACTCATCTGCCTCGTTAGGACACGAAAGCCACGCAACGCATTATTGGGAACGGTACGATCTCCGCGGCCGCTACTCACCAAGCGCCAACTCATGATGATTTTTAACAGTCCGTGACTCGATCTTCCGGGGGTACCTGCAATCAGCGGCGCTCGTATGACCGGGCAAGTTAATTTCCTCCGGGATCCAGTCAAGCTAGACACGCGTTGCCGTCCTCCAACTTTTCTTTGGTTACATTATGCTCATACGTAATGCTCTCTCCGGCACCCGCACCCGCACGCTGTATTCCGTTTTATTGTCCCGCTCGTCGCCATAATTGCTTGCCCCCTCGCCTGTGCAATCGCTCCCTACATACACTTCATTTCGACTTTTACCTCATGATCATCATCTCCCTTAAACGCCGTGCCGGACTGATTATTAAAGTATACATACAGTAAGTATACATACAGTACCCCGCCGTAGCTATAGCAACTGTACATCCCACTAGTACCCGCCTCTCTCTGTTCAGTAGTGTACTGTCTTGACGGTGTTTTTTATTCACTTGGTGTATTGACAAGACGTCGGGAGTTGGGCGAAGATCTACGGAGCACGTTGTGCTGCAGCAGTAGCTGATAACATTGTTCGTTCGTTGGAGACCGGGCACAGGCGGAGGAACATATGCATTCGCAGGTGACGATGATGAACAATCTGATTTGGAGAGGTAAGTAGGCGGCGGGGTCCCGAGCACAATCCTTTATTAGGGAGCTCGGGTATTGAAGACTTGAAGTTTGACAAGTGATAGGCACGCAACTGGACAGCGGGCGCTAGTGGACAAAGCAGCAATGACGAGAATTCCAGCAGGGTGAGGTTCTCGTGCGTCGTGAAGTTGCAGCGTAGATTTGGCTGGAAGGCCGCGGCCGAGCGCAGGTAAGGGTCAGTGGCATTGTACCAAAATTTCTGGATGCAGGAAAGGAGCAGCGACTACATCCTACCAACGTGTTTCCGCGCCTTCGAGTTTGGCAGGACGTCAACAAAGAAAATCAAGCACGACGGGCTTTGTCGAAAGAGGACTGGCGGCGAGATTCCGATTTATCTTGTACTTATGGTGTCTGATTTTTGAATACGACACAGCAAGCTGAGAGCAAAGCAGAATCATGTAGAGCAGAAGAAAGCAAGAGAACCAGTAGACGTGGCCCAAAAGAGGATCTTTCAACCTGGAGGGCTTGTTCCCGAGCCGCGCCGAAAGCTCTTGCATGCAGGATGAGTACTAAGAGATAGACTGAGCGAATGACGGACAGATGCTGCGTTGCATCCACGTAGGCGGCTAGGCTCATAAGCTTTCAGTCTTTCGACAACGAGGAAGGCGTCGCAAATTGGAAAGGTTGGGATCTCAGTAAGAGCGCAGATATAGACAGAAATTGGATCGCCGCTGCGCATCACGGCGCCATACATTTCCGAGTCGCCGAGGCAGGCCGAAGAGGAAATATCAACGCTCTGAATGCATCAGATTGAAGCGCCGAGGGCCGGACACAAAGGGGACGGTCAAGGTGGAAAAGCGCCAGTGACTGCGAATTTCCGAAGAAGGAAGGAGTTGAAAACGAAAAGGGATTGATCTGTCCCACGATGTCTGTATGAACAACTCTTCAGGAACCACGTCAATGAAGACGGTTTTCTTGTCTGCACTGCAGCTCGGCCTGGTCTTCTCGGGCCCTGGCGCTGGGACGGTGCTGCTCTGATGCACTGGCCTTCAACATGCTGTGTTTTGCCACAATGCTGCCCTCAAATAGGCCGCACTGCAGACTCTTCTTTCTTCCACAACCACCATGAGTAACGCTTTACTGAACAAGGCCGGAAAGGCCCTCTTCGAGAAACATTCGAAACACCGGTCAGTGTATTCACAGCGGAATATGTACGGCGCACTGACTCTCATTCAAGTCCCGCTAACCCCAAGTATGAGGAGTGTATCGACCCCCGCACGGGCAAGAAGCAGAAAAGAAAAGTAAGCTTCACCTCCGCTGCGACATGGTTTGTGTTGGTTGACCATGCGTCCAGCGTGAAATCCCGCCAGGTCTGTCGGAACGCGACGCCAAAATACTCAAGTCTGTCCAGAGCCGCGCACATCACCTTGACAATGGCTTCCACCCGTGCGGCATGCACTTCGGGTGGACCTTTATCATGGGCATAATTCCAGGGGCTGGTGACGTCGCCGACATCTCCCTCAATTACTTGCTAGTCGTACGCAAGGCGCGGAAAGCCGATCTCCCCGCCTGGCTTGTCCGCAAGATGCTTGTAAATATCGCAGCGAGCGCCGTAATAGGTCTCGTCCCGTTCGTCGGTGACATCGCTCTCGCGGCGTTCAAGGCCAACTCGCGCAACGCATGGCTCCTGGAAGAATACTTGCGCATCCGCGGCGACCAGAATTTGAAGGTTCAAGCGGAGAAGAAGAAGGGAAACCTGGAACAAGCAGATGACCCTTTGGTCCCCCCGTCCGATCTGAAACAAGTCCATCCCGGTGCTGGCAAGGAGCCCGGCGAGGTCGTTCCCGGGGAGAAGCCTGCGCTGCTAAGTTTCAGCAAACAGATGTCGGGTGGTGGCGGAAACGGCAAGGCCAAGGGAAAGGCGAAAGCTCAGACCGCAGACACGGGAAGATTTGTCGAGAACGTCGAGGGAAGCAGTTGGAAGAATTGAGGGATTGAACATGAAGATGATACCCAACTATGTACTCACAATCACTCGTTAATACCCAACTGGACATTCTCTACTGTCATTGCTTTCTCGCGTATGTAACGCTGTTGCTCGATGCGATTTGGGCGAGCAGGGCGACCGCAAAGATGATCGAGATGCGTACCTTACAACTTCTCACAGCGTTCTGGTTCCGGTAAACATGATCTCTGGGACTCCGAACTAAAACCGGGAGCCATATTTTACCGCCAACGAATCCGTCCTGACACCCTTTTGAAATCACTAGCCCGGATGAGGATGAGTACTAAGAGAGACTGAACGAATGACGAACAGGTTGCGTTTCATCGAAATAGGCGGCTAGGCGAAGCTCTCGGTCTTCCGACAACGAGGAAGGCGCGGCCAAGGAAAGGTCGGGACCTCAGTAAGAGCGCAGAATTAGACGGAAAATCGCCCATACTTATTACATTTCCGAGTCGCCGCGGCAGGCCGAAGTGGACATATCAACGCTCCGAATGCAGCAGATCGATGAGCCGAGGGCCAGACCCAACCAAGGTGGAACAGCGCCGGAGACTGAGAGCTTCCAACTTTAAAGAAGGAAGGAGGTATTGAAAACGAAAAGCGATTGATCTGTCCCACGATGTCCCTAGTAAACAACCGTACGTTCTTCAGGAACCACATCACGGTTTCCTTGTCTTCGCGCTGCAGCTCGGCCTGTTGATCTTCTCGGCCCTGGCGCGGACCGTGTTACCCAAGTGTTACCCCAATGCAGAGCTGCTACGCTTCCAGCACCGTGACTGCTATCTTCCTGAGGCTTCCTCGATGCGACTTTCGGGGAAGACGTCACGGTCCAAAGATCATCGAGACTCGGTGCGTGGCTTCCAAGTTCTAACTTCTCGCAGGGCTTCAACTCCGTTAATCATGACCTCTGGGAGCCTATTTTTGCCACCAACGAATCCGCCCAGACACCTTTACTACTGTAGCTCCCAGATGGAACCAGGCTCTGTAATCTCGACTTGGTTCTGACGAATTCAGCAACTGTGTTGTAATGCCGATCTTGGTCTCATAGAAGCTCAAGCCAGTTTCAACCCTACTAGGAGTGTTGAGTCTCCAACATATTGCTTTGGTTGGTCATTGTTCGGCACTTCGGTCGCGACTCTTGTCTCATGTACACTTACCGAATCTTCTGGAATTAGTTTCATGCCAGTGTGCCTGGGAGCTGGGCGCACTGAAACATATCCAGGACACTAATGCTACTCCTCTCTCGGCCTGCAGTGGTTCTGGTTCTTCAGGTGGTTGGAACGCGGTGAGTTCAAGTTGAGTTCAAGTCTGTTTGTGTTGATGCTGTGATCGCAATTCCATTGGTTCTCGCATGACAAGTGTTCGTGCAGGCCTTTCTCAACCCTCGCACACACGTCCTGTCCGTTTCTCTCCAGCCCGGCTCTTCCTCCCTCTTGGAGCCGTGGCTTGGTTAATATATCTTTGATTAAGGTTCAGCTCTCACATGGCCGCCTGGCGAAATGGCATCGCGTCTGACTACGACCTTTTCTGGGGTAATGGCGATCAGGAGATTGTAGGTTCGATCCCTACGGTGGTCATTTTGCTTCCCTAGCTTCACCCTGCTCTGCCAGTAGCTTTCCCCCGCAGTTGAAATCTCGGGTTGAGTTCGAATTTTCGAATTTTTGGGTTTTTCACATCCAATGGCTAATTGATGAAGGTTTCTGACCAGGTACGGCCAACTCCTGACTGTGGCGAGACTCCGGCACACTCCATGGAGCTAGGCTCAAACGTGGGGGCGACGCGTACGCCGCATTGTGTTACCATCGATCGCCCACTCATACAAGCAGTACTTTCTGCGGATGGCGATCTTGCGCCCATAAGTCTGGTCGGATTGGGCACGGCATTGAGATCTACATTCTGTACACCCATATATCTCAGCCCCAAATTTTCTAAGATGTTGGGGTTGAACTGAGATCGCAGTGACGTTGCCGAGGCGAGCGATGCAGAAGAAGGTATTGACGCGCAGTGACCTCAATTATTTACCGTTTACTCCACAATCACAGCAGCTTCATAGGAAGCATCATCGTCTCAATGTACTTTAGCTTGCATTTATTGAGCTGTTATGAGGTCGCAAAAGCATTGACTTTTCTTTTCCCGCACAACTGGGGATCGCTATGTGGGTCGGGTTGGAGTTTGTCCGCTCGGCATCACACGTGGCGGCACAGCTTTTGGCCGCTTCCGGCATCCGATCGGTCCAAGCGAATCATCTCAATCCGTAATGACGATCAATGGAACCGTGATGAACATGATCACTGAGGATGTAGCGAATCTGGGAGGAGGCCCACGAGGAGCGAGCCTCAAGTTACATGGTTCCCGGAAACCAAAGCTCTGCTACGGCTATTGTTTGTGCTTACAACTATTTACCCTTGTGCAGCCTAACTCTGGTCGCATAAAGTTTCTTAGTGCTGCGGATAAATGGAAGTTGGTAGGCGAGTTCGGGCGAATCTCTGTCATTTCGGATGACAAGGATCGACAGGGATCACGAAGGATGTCCTCTTCTTTTTCTCCAGAAAAAAACACACGGTTTTGCGCGATGCACTGGAAACGCACCCTGCGTCTTGGCCCTTGGGGGATCGTTTGACAGGGAGCTTGGAGTTCCGGGGCCTTCCACGCAGCCCGAACCTGAGTACTGAGTTTCCAAAACGGTCTAGGAGGTTGCCTAAATGAATTCTGCTTTGAGTTGTTCCGAAGATCATCGGTCAGCCACGCGGGGATCTACGCGCCGTGATGGACACCGGTGGCGCGGTTCGCGCTGGTTCGCGACTCGCGACGCGTGAGTTCGTAACAATCCCACTCCAGATCCCGTTCAATTCATTTCCCTCCTTATGGTTCGCTGCGCTTGCGAAATCGTCGTGAACCGAGAATCTTTTCCTCACGCTCATGCTGTTTCAAGTACATTTCTCTCAAGACATCCCAATCAAGGCGCTCGAAGTGGAAAAGACTTCATCACCAAGGCAGCATTCGGAATTCGGATGCTAGGCCGACGCCACAAAGGCTCTGAATACATTTTGAAACATTTTGAACCATGCGCGCGCCGCGAAGCCTCGCAAAGCAGATGGTTATCCTTAATGAGCTTCCTGCATCTGTTGCCTAGCATTCGAGAGCATAGTCCTTGCTAGTCCTTGTCGACGCGCGCAAAAATGCAGCTTCAATTTATTCGCTGATGGGTTCTAAAGCAAAATGATGCGATATCTGATAACGGTGATGCGCTTGATCGCCATTTGAATTTCAGTACCCGACGGTACTCAGTCCCGAGTCTCCCGACCCCGCAAAATGATGCGAATTCTAAGGGGCAGAACGGAGGAACATGGAACACAAGTGACATTGGAAATACGATTATAATAATTACGGCTAAGTTACAAAGGGACACACTACATGATACAGTTCATCGAGTTCATTCGGTGGCGGGTCAATTTTGTGGCTACAGTACATCATACATGCTAGCGAATGCAGAACGAGACGGCGGCGGGAATTATAGCGGGCGGGGGTAGGCTATGGATATATGGTACAGCTGAGCGATTAGTGCGGCGGCTCTATGCAGTGTGAATACAGACAACAGACAATGCGAAAGTAGAAATATAGCGGGGCTGCAACGGGCAGAAACCAGGCGAAAGCATGCTGAAGGAGGTTCCGGGCGGGTCATGACGAGTCGTCCTCTTCGTCCTCGGCGTCCTCGTCGGGTTGGCCAGCGCCACCCTTCCATTCGCGCTCCCAGAGAGGCTCAGATTGCAGGGGCGTGCGCGCGGGGTGGCCTGGCGGGAGGACAGATCGTGCACGCTCTAGACGCGAGCGTAGGGCGTCGCGGTCGGCGAGCAGTTCGCTCATGTAGTCGATGGCTGGAGAGCATCGTGTGAATAAAAAGACAAAGGGAGCAAGTCGGAAGCTTACTCTTGGACAAAACAACGTTTTCGCTGCGGGGACCGGCGCGGCCATCAACCTTTTCTCCGCCATCCTCTGCGCGTCCCCGGCCCCGGCCGCGCTTGCCCTTGGCGTTGGCGGGCGGATGCTGAGACGCGGTGAGGGCCTCCTCCTCCCGGATCGCGTCGCGAAGTGCGGGGACGGCTTCGCAAAGCGCCTCGTAGCCCCTGCGAATATTGGCGCGACGTTTCTGCTCCGATTGTATGTGATTCGCCTTTTTCTGTGACGGCGACAGAAGCGCGGGTTTGGACGGGGGAGGTACAGTGCGGGGTCGTTTGGCAGGTGGTGCTGCAGCTGGCGCACTCTGTGTCTGTTTCGGAGACGGTCTGCGGACCGGTGACGGCGGAAGATCCGGAGGAAAGGAAAAGGAGGACGAGGAGGTGGATGCAGATGCAGTCGAGGGTGTCGCAGTATACGGCCTGGGGGGTGGCGGATAATTTATGGTGAGCGGGTGCGGAGGGGGCGGTGGGGGACGCTGCTGGTGCAAAAATGGGAATGTCGGCTGCCGGGTGTATACTGGACCGGGATGATAATCATAGTGCGTCGAATAATGCTGCACTGGGTGCTGCTGCTGCTGGGGGTGCTGCGCGGGGTAATAGTAATGCTGCGGGGGCTGCTGTTGAGCGTACCCGCGCGCGTCCAGAGCCATGAGATCCTTAGTAGCCTTTGTAAGAGCGTTCCGGTCGTGGTATTGGTCCGTGTCCTGTGTCTGGGCATACATGGCCCACTCGCGGGACACCAGCCCGTTCTCGTAGTCCATTGTATCGAGAAAGGCGTGGAAGGAGTTGGACTCTGTTTTGGTGAGCAAAGACATGTTGTCGCCTAAGTACCTCGAAGCACAACCCCTTGTTGGCAGGGCGCACCATGTGATTCGCCGTCACAGTCACGCCCTCCCGATCCACGCTCCTGCGCTGTATCTATGCCATCTCGCTAGATCTCGCTTGCCCGCGTGCTCAGTTCCCTGCAGCACTTGCCCCAAGCCCGAGGATGCAGATCACACTGTGTCTCGGTCTGTCTGGCTATTTCTGACCTTTCTGACCCTGAGGTGACCAAATCAACTTGGATTCGGTCCTTGCATCCGCAAGAGCGAAAAAAAAAACATCTCTCCCGGTTCACCGAGTTCTTTCCTCGTGTAGTACCCCTCGCACTACACTTGCAGAGCGGCGCCACAAGAAAATCGTTGTCTTCATCTTCCTGTACTTATCTCTTCGGGTCATTTTATACCTCCGTTCTGGCATCTGTGTAGCAACCGACCTTGTAACCACACGCAACACGCGAGTCTACACTGCCTTGGTTCAAATTCTTGCATCCTGCGTAGATCTCTTCTCGTTATTCTTGGGTTAGCTTGGGATGCTTGGTTCTTGTACCACGACGCGGATAGGCGAGGCTCGCCGCGGCTTCGACTAGATACGCCACAACCGTGTGGCGGAACCAAAAAACAATCAATTAAGTGAGCAGCAGGTCGCTCCAAGGTACACAAGTGACACAAGTCGACATAGCTCCATAATGAAACTCGACCCGGCGTTCAACATTAAAATTGCAATCCAACACCATGCGCTTACGTCGACGACTCGACGTCTGTGCAGATCCCGCCTTCCCGGGCGTCGGGCTGAACTGTTCCTGAGGCGGCTCCTCATCCGAGGCTCATTTCCAACACGCTCGAACGCAAACCGCAGTTCACTCTTACGGCTCGGGCACTGCTTCAACCTGGTTAGACAATGGGTATGACACAAATCGGTCGAAAGGCACATCTCCTCGTACGCGTGTCCCCGTACTTCTTCGGCCAGCACGCGCACATTCTCGCTGATAGTGCCGCCGGAATTTGCCACCCCTTCCCAAATCGGGAGATCAAGGAGGTTCACTCAGGAGGAACACTTCTTTGGGCTTCGCTTAACGTCAATCAATACCGATTGCCCCGGGATCCCCGCCCCACTCTTCGCTGCCGCCGTATTGGATATCCAAGTTGAACAACGCGTTGGTTGTGTTCCTGTGATCTCACTTCGTACCACTCGAAGGCTTGTTCCGCGGCGTACTCATGAGCACCATCCGTGCCCATCGTGCGAGGTCATTTCTGCTGCTTTTTTCCAACTCGAATCGGAGCCGCAGTGAGGAAGCTCAAGCCGCCGGACCAATGGCAAGGCCCACACCGGCATTCAACGTGCACAGCTTCTCGCTTGCTCCCCCGCACGGCAACTTCCCGTTTTTCACCTGCTAACAAGACTGCTTCCAGGCTGGCTCAGCTGACAGCGGCGTCAAAAACGAAAACGGCAAAGCCACCTCGCATAACAACTACTCTTGATACTCCGCACACAGAACACCATACCTTCTGCCCGGCACGGCGGCTTATGGACGATTGTCGACGAGGCTGGACTACGGAGCACGCGTCGCCGTTGGGGGGCCGCTATCTCAATACAATCTAGACCTTGTGGCGTTGATTCACGTCGCCCGGAGCAGGCTCTACGCGCGCACGGTCTCAATCTCTTTCGAAGACTTGCGTCTCCCACCACACACCGCATGAATGGATACCGAGCCTTCCACCACGCATCCCAGCGTCCTTTGACTTGGACACACTATCGATCCTCCTCCTTGCTGTCGCCCCACCAAGCCGAAGCCCTCAGCG